GTAGAACCAAGCCTGGGTCTTTGACTGTCGCGTTCTTTAATGCGGTATCAGAGATCAAAAGGAAGAGATCATATATTTTTTACGCGACCATGATATCGACATCATGCTAGTGCAAGAGACCTTGAAACCTAGTTTGAGCGATCCCAAAATAGCCAATTATACCTTAGTAAGAAATGATAGGCTGACCGGACCTAAAGGCGGCACCTTGATCTACTACAAAAGGTCCTTGCAATGTGTACCGATAGATACTCCGCCGCTTACTAACTTAGAAGCGTCGGTCTGTAGGATAGCACTCACGGGCCATCCGCCATTAATAATTGCATCAGCATACCTGTCTCCCTTAAAAAGTATATTAGATTCCGACATATCGGCTCTATTAAACCTAGGCCCTAGCGTATTAATCGCGGGAGACCTAAATAGTAAACACGTTAGCTGGAATTCTAACGTTAACAATCCTAACGGAATTATTTTAAGAGACCTCACGGAGAGACTTAACTTCGATGTTATCGCTCCCGAGAGTCCAACACGCTATCCTTTTGCAAACAACCAACATCCGGACGTCCTTGATATAGCACTGCTAAAAGACATCCGACTTACTATTAATTCGATAGAGGCTATTATCGAGCTAGTCTCAGACCACAGGCCGGTCGTTTTACAACTGGGCCGGCCGGCAGCTGAGGTCCTTCAGACCAAAACTATTGTCGACTGGCGTAAACTTTAGGTCAAACTTAAGTCTACGAACTCCCAGCATTTGGACACTATACCTGACAAGATAGACTCGCTGGAGGAGGCCGATAGAGCGATTAGCGCCCTTACGACTCACCTCACATCAGCGGTCGAAGAATGCTCCCGTAGGGTTCGTGTGTCGAGCGATCAATACACGAAACTTCCGGCGGATGTTCGACAGCTGATTAGAGCGAAGAATTCCGCGCTTAAAATTTACGACCGCTACCGCACGGAAACCAATAAACTTCGGGTACATTCTTTACAAAACGAGATTAAACAACGAGTAGCCGAGTTTAGTAACGATAGCTGGGATAACCTCTTGATGTTATCGAACCATCTCAAGACGCCTTCAAATTAACGAGAGCTCTTAAAGCCAATAAATCCTCACCGATGCCGCCTCTCGTGAGGCCTGACCACCCTGATCTTGCCCTAGACGATCTCGATAAAGCCGAATGCCTAGCCGACAGTCTAGAGTACCAGTGCACGCCATCCACCGCACCAAACAGATCCCGCTCACCTACTAGAGGTAGAAACGGAAGTAGAACGTAGGGCTGCGCTGCCACCAGCGGGCGAACCACTCGATCCTGTGACATTAGATGAAGTCACCGAAACTATCAAAAGCCTTAAGAATAGATCAGCCCCTGGGCCAGACGTCATCAACAACAAGGTGATCTGAATCTGATCTGGTGAATCCCTTTCGGCGCCACGTATTTACCTCCTTGTAGGATTATTTAAGACTTTTCTCACGAACTGCTCTTTCCCGGACATCTGGAAAGAAGCAGACGTAATAGGGATCCCAAAACCGGATAAACCGCGCTCTAGCTACAGACCCATTAGTCTGCTCAACACTTTGGGTAAGCTATACGAGCGCATTATTCACAAGCGTCTCCGTCATTACACCGAATCCAACAGACTCCTCCCAGACGAGCAGTTTGGCTTTAGAGCCAATCACTCATGCACCCACCAGATTCATCGCCTAACAGAATACATTCTGTCTGGCTTCAACCAAAACCCGATAAGGAAAAAGGCTCGAAACACGGGAGTCCTCTTCTTCGATGTCGCGAAGGCGTTTGACAAGCTCTGGCACGACGGCTTGATTTACAAGCTGTACAAACTAAACGTGCCTGATAGGCTCGTGCACATCATACGAGCCTTCCTTTCGAACCGCACTTTTCGATATCGAGTGGAGGGAACCCGTTCTTCGAAACGCTTCCTCAAGGCCGGGGTCCCACAGGGCTCTGTCATATCTCCACTCCTCTTCACACTCTTCACGAGTGATATCCCTAAAGACCCCGTGGTGAACACCGCACTCTTCGCCGACGGTACGGCACTCTATGTGTCAGACTACAACAAAAATAGACTCGTTAAAGCTCCAAAAAGCCACCAATCGCCTAGGTGAATGGTTCCGCCAATGGAGAATAGACGTGAATCCCGAAAAGAGTGTAGCAATATACTTTCAACGGAATTCAACAGCAGGTTCTAAACCAAAAACGATTTCCCTATACGACCGCCCAATCCCTTGGGAAAAATCGGCCAAATACCTAGGCGTCACGTTCGACTCCCGCATGAGTTTCGCGACACACATAAGTGTAGTACGCAACAGAGCAAAGTCGGTCATCGGCCGTCTACACCCTCTCGTTAACAGTAGGAGTAAGCTGTCGCTAAGACACAAACTCCGATTGTATAAAACCTCCGTTAGACCAATTATGTCCTACGTTAGTGTAGCTTTCGCCCACACGTATAAGACCCACATTTTAAAACTCCAAAGAGTCCAAAACTTTTTCATCCGAAAAGCCACCGGTGCGCGGTGGTATCAACGGAACTCTGATTTGCACAATGATTATGAATTACCCTCTATCTCCGAATACTTCAAGGAGATGTCTCAACGCTACTTTGATAGAGTAGAAACCCACCCAAACCCGCTAGTGACAAACGCAGCTAACTACGTTCCGATAACAAACGTCGCGCCCTATCTCCGTAGACCGCGAAATGTGTTAATAGAACCACCTCAACCGCTCGATCCAATCGACCCAAACGTCGCAGGCACATCACACAATGACACTAGACCCACACTAAATGGGACAAACACTGCTAGGATTACGAATGAGGCGCGTCGCACCCGCAGACGGGCACGACGCGTTCCAGCTCACACCGCGTACCCAACGTACACCCGCGTTCCTGGGTGGTTCTCACTGCCCAGACCCTCGACCGACATGAGCTGAGCAGTCAGAGACGGGGGTCCGCACTCCGATTAGAGCCCCCCCCCCGAACTACGGTTAGACAGCTAAAAAAACGCCTAAAAAGGCAACGTGATGATTGGTAACAATACCAAATCATAAACCATTTCATCATCATCCTCACCTCATTGCCTTTCCATTTTTTTAAGTAGCCCTGAGTCAGATGAAACTGTAAGAGTCGCATAGACTAACAGCACTAACATCTAGATGGTAGGAGGAGATACATTCATTTGAATACAAACTGTCAAAGAGATAACATCAACATGGAGAAAAACGAAATTAAAGCTGTCATCAAGTACCTTTAAAAAAAATGTCTTCAAAAGACATACACAGTGACTTAGTGGAAACATTGGGGCTCTGCTCCTCCATATTCTACAGTTGCACGCTGGGACAAGGAGTTTAAACTGGGCAGAACATCCACTGAAGATGAACATCGCTAAGGACGCCCATCCACGTCCCTCACTGAAGACAACGTGAAAAAAGTCGAAGATGTTGTGTTGGCAGATCGAAGAGTGACCATCAGGCATCTAGCTGAGGTCACAGGGATCTCATATGGCAGCGTTCAAAGAATCATTACGAACGAGTTGTATATGAAAAAGGTCTCTGCGCGTTGGGTACCCAGAATGTTAACCGACGAGCAAAAGAAAAATCGAGTTGACATTTCGAGGGTCAATCTCGAAAAGTTCCAAGCAGATCAAGAAAATTTTTTGTTCCGTTTTGTGACTATGGACGAGACCTGGATCCACCATTTTGATCCTGAAACGAAACAACAATCGATGACTTGGAAGCGAGCCTCCTCACCGACGCCAAAGAAATTCAAAGTTTCAAGTTCGGCGGGAAATGTTATGGCATCTGTTTTTTGGGACGCTCAAGGCATAATTATAGTGGAATATTTGGAAAAGGGAGCCACTATTACGGGCTCTTACTACGCAGACCAAATAAGAAGATTACGGGAGGCCATTAAGGAAAAAAGACGCGGCAAACTGCAAGCTGGAGTGCTGTTTCACCAAGACAACGCACTGGCTCACAAAGCCGCAGTTGCGATGGCTGCCATTCAAGAAACGGGATTCGAACTGCTCGAACACCCTCCCTATTCGCCAGATCTAGCTCCTAGTGATTACCTCTTTCCTCGGCTCAAGGAAGGCCTCCGAGGCAATAAATTCGAAGACGATAGCGAAGTAATGGCCGTTGTTGAAGTGTTTTGGGAGCGTCAAGACAAAGAATTTTTTTCAAAGGGAATCCTGGGTTTAGAAAAAAGATGGACTAAATGTATTGATTTGTTAGGAGACTATGTAGAAAAATAAATTATTATTTTAACTTTAATTACCGTGTTTTATTTTCATTATCATTACTTTTGGATCACCCCTCGTATCTCCCATCCCTGCTCTATACGCATCCCAAATATACAAATTCACCTACTTGCTCAACCAAATCTCCTTCTATTCTTATTTCACTTATCGTTTTACTTTCTTCTCTCTCAAAAACTATAACTTTCGTCTTACTTGCGTTCACTTTCGTTCCCCTCTCTTTTAACGACCTGTTCATTAATGTAACCATCATTTGCAACTCGGCCGCCGACGACGATGCAAATATAACTTGATCATCGGCGTACAAAAGGCATTTGATGGTTACCTCACCCATCCTTAATCTGTATTCTTCAGCTTTCAAATTTTCCATATCTTAAATTAAGTAAATATAACGTATATGATTAAAACAACATTAATCTTTTAAATCGTTATTACATAGCTGATTGCTAGGTAATGCATGACTCTGAGTTAAATCAAATATCTTTATCTCTCAGAAATTAGCATCTCATAAAACTAATTTTATTTTGTAAAAATTTGACATTTATCTTAAGATACAATTAATGATTTAAATTTTAAAGAGATGTTATCTCGCGTCGCCAACAGTAGTACCTATAACCTGTTTTTATATTCACCTCGTATGTAATAAAACGGATTGTTGTGGCGGAAAGAACGATCTTTAATTATCAAAATCTGACATAAATTACATTCCTCATAAGAACGTTTTACACAGGTTCATTACGGATTGCCACCGCAAACCGACGAGATGTCGGCGAAGCCCTTAACCTTTCCGAATGACCCTGACGAAGTTCGTGCTTACGCTCTGCAAGTGGCCGGCCATCAGTCCACTGAAGACACAAAATACACAGGTAAAATATTTTATTAAGTATCACACAAATAATCGTGCCTGTAACACTAAAGTTCCTTTGATAAAGATTTTATAACGGCCTATACCCACTGCTGAAAGTAGGCCTCCCCCAAAGAATGCCAGAAATCACGGTCCTGAGCCACCTGCATCCATCGACTTTCTGCATGTCTTACCTGGTAGACACTTCATCTAGTGGGGCGTCGCACTACACTTCGCCTGCCGGTACGAGGCTACCACTAGAGAACCTTTTTTCTACATCGGTTGTCGGTTCTTCGTGCTCCATGGCTGGCCCCTTGCTACTTCAGCTTACTAATCTGTTAGGCTATGTCGGTCACTCTGGTTCAATTACGGATATCCTCATGTCTATGTATATCACGCATAGAAACCCCAAGCATAACCCTCTCCATAGCTCGCTGAGTGACTTTGAGCGTCTTCATACGACCAACAGTGAAGCAGTGGCGAAGCTAGGGCTCCAAAGTAGGGCAAGCCCAAGATATGGTTTTGTTTTTCGTAGTTTTATAAAAATACACCAATCCTGATCTGTCTCAACTATTCAGTATCATATTCAGTGCTGTTGAGGACGTGTTTAACAAAGCACACAGAAGGCATACTACTGCTAGATAGATTGTATGACATATCAGCAATTGCATACCTTCGGTAGCTTTGAAAAAAACCGTTTGGGTTTGCTTGAGCGAAAGAAAAAGATATTTATATACAATATACATGAACAAAGTACAAACAATGTACAAAATTAAAAAAAATTATTTATATCCTAAATTTAATGGTCTCTTTTTCTTAAGGAAAGATTTGATTACGTCCGCGTAAAATGGTGGCGAACATTGTACCAATAACTGTTTTTCAATTGCAATAATTGATAAGTCCGAAAAACGCTCTTGAACGTGTGTATTTTCTCAACAAAGTTTAAAGATTTTACATTTTTCTCGCCGATTAGCACTTTATCACACTTCAAGTCATCACAAGGAACGCTCCTCTATATATACACTGTGATCTATACTATGTACTCCAATATTATCCTCCATTTTCACTAAAAATCTTTGAAAAAGCATTTTTCAACAGACAACAAAAACAAACATAAACATTGAATTGTTAGTGAACTTGCAAACGTATCGCCCGCACGCCCGCGCACTCCTAAACAACTTTAGAGCAAAGCCATAGTAATTGCTATATAAACATTCGTAGTTATATTTCATTATAGAACATTTTGCCACAGGTTAGAAAGGGAGCGATCGACTTCTCGAAAGCTCAGTAATAAGCCAACGCGTGCGAGAGAGACGTTGCTTTCATTAATTTTGACAGTCCATTGCGTGTTCGCTTTGAGACAGAGAGAACACGAATCAATGTACTTCGAATTGAAAGCAAACTGTCAAGTGTTGACGTTACATATATGCTACGCGGTCATGACCTGTGTAGAACAGGGGAGCGCGTGGGAAATTTGAAATAGTTTGAAACAGTTTACGAGTTATTTTATTAGTTGATTGAGCAGATTGAAAAGGCAAGCCTGGCTTTTGGACTTCTATGGAGGCTTCGCCACTGCGTGAAGTACCACGTCTCAGATCCATAAGTCATCACTGGCAACACGTACTGGTTGTACAATCACATACAATCTCATTTTCAGGTTTTGAGCTTTTTTTTATAGAATAGAGTGACAAACGAGCACATAGTCCACCTGATGGTAAGTGGCCCATACACAACTACATTTATCCTCGATTAAGAATCAAAATGCAAATTCGTTCTCACCCGTGAGGACTAAGATGAATGCCATACAGACTATATCGTTGGCAAATCAAAGGTGAGTGATGTACTCGTCATTGATGTTAATACCGTATCCTTTCCAGTCCAGTAGCTTGAAAAAGACTTCCAATGCAGCGGGGAAGAGTTTCGGGGATATAACGTCACCCTGTCGTACGTCGCTCTGCAATTGGATAGGTTTCTAGTTCGGTACTCGGATAGTTATCGTAACTCTACTGTACACACACTTCAGCACTTCGATATACCGACAGTCAACTTGGCACCGCTGAAAAGACTGTAGCGCCGCCCAAATTTCGACGGAATCAAAGGCTTTCTCATATTCCACATACGCAAGGCAAAGTAGCAGATTGTACTCTTCGGTCTTCTGTACAATTTGCCGTAGACTATGTATCTGGTCTATGATACTAAAGCCTTTTCAGAAACCGGCTAGTTCGGGAGGCTGGAAGTCATCGAGTGTGCTTGCGAGACGATTCGTAATTACTCTTGAAAATAGCACGGAGACGCGGCTCACAAGGGAAATAGGACTGTAGTTCTTCCAGAGAGCGTTGTCGCCTTTCTTGAAAAACAAGACCACTGAACTTCTTCTATACGCCTCGGAGTAGTCCCACCATGGAGTTCGAAATTAATGAGCTTCTGAAGAACTTCATGCTGTTGAGCTTCTGAAGAACTTCATGAACTTGTTTCCAATCCGCTTTCAGAAACAAAAAGATCCATACTAACCGATATTTAAACGGTGAATCTCACCACCATCCTTCACAGTTGGCTACCGTGGAAAAACCTTTGTTTCAAAGCACAAGGGATTGTGACAGTAAACACCTGGCCCCCGAGCATGTCAAGCAAGTTTTGAAGCATTGCTTGACAACAAGCTTTGCGTCTCACGCTTAAATCACAGTGACCGAGTGAAACCAGCCAAAGTCGAGCGTGTGCCTGTTGTACTTCTATATGTCAGAGGAGTCACGGACAAGATTTGCTACATCTTGAAGCGAGCTCCAAAAACTACTACAAGCCGCTGAAGAAGATTAGTCAGTTTCTACCAACCGTCAACTATAATATCCCTCCACAAGGTGCAGAAGTGTACAAGCTTGATTGTGAATGTGGTTCCTCTTACGTAGGGTAAACTAAAAGATCCATAAAAACCCGCGTGAAAGAACATGTCGCTGATGTGAAGAATAGGCGCTCCGGAAAGTCTGCAGTATGTCAACATGTTCGGGATTGGCCCTACCATTATATCAGATTTGATAGACCACGATTACTCGCAAAAGAACACCGATTCCTACCGAGGATGATTCGCGAGGCTATTGAAATTAAAAAATATTCTAGTTTTAGTAGAGATGATGGCTTGGGGCTACCATCTGATCGGATCCCATAATTAATATAAAATTAAATCAAAACATAATACTGCAAGACTTCAAGATACTGTAAGCTCGTTCTGCGTAGATCGGACCAAAAATTAATGATTAAAAGTTGAAGGTAACCTTCGTTCACTATGACATCGGGCCTTCAAACACCTCAGTCCCCCCATGATAATGGGTTCTGGAAAGGACCCGAAACCTCGGGAATTAATTTTTTTTTAATGCAACGCGATAAAATCCATAAATTTAGTTTTATTCAACGTGTCTTGTCTAATTTGAAGAGCACATCCCAAACACGTCAGCCACCGCAGTCTATTTCACCTGATGAAACGAACTTGACAAAACACGTTTCGTATTATCGACATTAGTGTTGTTAGGAGTTGTGGTACTGGAATTGGTGGTGACGGGGATAGTGCACGCAATTGAGAAAGGGGCGAAGGTGCTCTTCAAACTAGGTAAGATTTTATTATGTGGATGTTAGACAATTATTTTCTAAACATCCTTAATATATTTGTTGTATAGGATAGGGTGACAAATGAGCATACAGTCCACTTGATGGTAAATGGTTATAGTGGTGGCTCATAGACATCTACATCTAGTTCAGTTTAGTTTAGTTTACAACGGGCTAATTTCCGCAACTCCACGTCTAAGCGCGTATTTTGCGTGTGGGCAGGAATAATGTGATTATTCGAGCCATGAAATCTCCCCGAAAAAGTTCACCAGTCCTCTGATGTTGCAAGCAACTTCGGGGAGTGATCCCGGCATGCCGAGATGTTTAGACCTGTATGAAGTGACTTTCGGACATGTCAGCAACACGTGAGCCGCCGTTTCTTCCTCTCCCTTGCTCATCCTTGCACAGGGGGCTATCTGTAAAACCTATGGTAAACAAATGTTTGTTAAAAGAGCCATGTCGTGTGATAGCACTTGTTATTATCCTGATCTGTGGCTTGTTCAGTCTCATTAGAACCTTGGTTAGGCGACTGTTTATTTCAGGCAGGGACTCCCTAGCTTGTCTATAGTCTACTAAATTTTTCCAAAGTTGAGCGCGTAAATTATTGAAGTATCTACGTACCAGTGAACGAACGTAGACAACGGGGATTGGTATTATTGGTTCCGGCCCTATAGTAGCCAGAGCCAATCCCCTTCTGGCCAGTTCATCTGCTGCATCGTTGCCTCTAGATCCACTGTGTCCCTTAATCCATTGCAGAATCACATTGTTGTACTTACATACCGCATTTAATCGTGGATGGCATTCATATATTAGTCCCGAGTTCGCCACATTACAACTCAGAGCTTGTAGTACCGCCATACTGTCGGTCAGTATTCTGATGGAGAAGTCTTTTACCTTCCTAGCATCTATTGGTATGGCCACTTGTATGATACCTATACATTCAATCTGGAAGACTCTGTTATTGGTACCCAGAGGTGTGCATATGTAGATACTAAGGTCTTCAGAGAAAGCCCCAGACCCCACACCTTCGTTTGTCTTAGAACCATCCGTGAAAACTTTGAGCTCTTTTGGTCCCAATCCGTCCAGCTGGTCAGTTTCCTTCAATTGTATCCTGTACTTCTTATCAAATACAAATTGTTTTGGAATCCCATCATACTTGTCTTGTAAGATAGGATTTTTTGAGTAAATTCTATTGATTACTCCTGTATGGGGGACTCTACTCTTACTTAAAAGATTTAGGGTCTTGAGTTTAATGGCAGCTAAAGTTGCTTCTTGTTGTGTATGTAGATGAAGCGGGGTAAGCCCCAGGATAGTCTCTAAAGCTGCTTCCAGTGTAGTTCTTATGCAGCCCGTGGCAGCCATACATGCTAATCTCTGGTAATGTTGAAGTTTTTTTTATAGTTGTGGCTTAATTAGTTTTGGTCCACCATACCAGAGAGCCGTATGTGATCATGGGCCGAATTACAATTTTGTACAGCCACAGTATAATTTTTGGCGTCAAACCCCATCGTTTGCCAATCATGTTTCTGCATTGCCAGATAGTTATACTAGCTTTGTTGATTTTGTTTTCTATGTGTTTATTCCAGTTAAATTTACTTTCCAAGGTAAGAGCTAAATATTTTACCTCAGAGGATAGCTGTAGTTCTGTGCTAAAAAGACTTGGGAGATGATAGTTATTCAGCATTCGTTTTTGTGTGAACATTACAAATGCAGATGCGTTGTCACCCGTGAGGACTAAGATGGAATGCCTCGTTTGCAATAAAAAGGGTCTCCGGTTCTCTACACTCACCATACGAATCACAGCAGCATTAATCTACTATATTACGCTGGTATTCTGTGAGAGCGTGGTCCTTCCCCGGTCGAGCCGACCCATTCGTGCTACAACTATATACTACTAATATAACTGCAGCATGGCCCTACCACGTATAATGTGTACTACCACATGTAATATAATGAATTTCTGCAAAGCAACGTCCGATTCTACTAATTAAATTATTAAATGTTATCCAGAGATGATCTTCGTTGTTTACATTCTCTATTCGACTGGCGGCCCCGTAGCGCAATGACTTATCAATGAATTAGGGGCCTAATCTCCTAAACCAGGGTGGTTCCGTGTGTGTGTGTGTGGTTTTAACTTTAATTTAAAAAGAAAGGTTTCTTATTGAAGAACCTCGTCTGAATTCTCAATTGTCAGGTCTTCTTCAATGCTGCAATGGGAGAGTCCTAAAGCCGATCCTCAAGGAGTGTCAAAAGCGCGAGGTTGAATTTTACGAGCGTCTTGCTACCACCAGCGACCCAGATCTGATACAGCTTCGCAAGTTTGTGCCCAAATACTTCGGAGTGAAGAAGTTCACGTACAACGGCCACGAGCAGGACTACATAATACTAGAGGATCTCACTGAAAGGATGCTGGAGCCTTGCATAATGGATGTCAAGATTGGTACGACAAAGTTTTAATTACTTGTCCTGTTTTTTGTAACAGAGTAATCCAGGGTTGACTATGTGGTTACTGAAACCCTCCAAGCAATAAACATTTGCAGTTAAAGTATTTCCTCATTCAATCTATTTGCAAACCTTTACCATTATGTCTCTTGCACTTCTGTACTTTTTACAGTAAATCTTTTTTAGTTCTGGGAGTCAAGTTCCAACTCCTTACTATTAACTTTTTTTTATAGAAGAGGGGGCAAACGAGCATGCGGCTCACCTGATGTTAAGTGACTACCGCCGCCCATGATCAACCGCAACACCAGGGGAATTGCAGGTGCGTTGCCGGCCCTTTAGAAAGGAGAAAGCTCTTTTTTGAAGGTCCCCAGGTCGTATCGGTCCGGAAAAATCGCCGGTGGTAAACTATTTCACAGAGAGGTTGTACGCGGAAGAAAACTTCTTTTGAAACGTACAGTGGTGGACCGCCAAGCATCCAGATGGTGTGGATGGTATCGGGACGTTTGCCGCGTAGTGCGTTCACGAAATTTGGCGGCTGGGGTTAATCCGAACAATTCCTCAGAGCACTCCCCATGGTATATGCGAAATAAAATGCAAAGAGATGCAACATCTCTTCGCAGCGCCAGTGAATCGAGCCGATCGGAAAGCACTCGGTCGTCGACGATTCGAGCGCTGGATGTGGTCAAGTGAAAGGAGCTGGTACTGGGGAGCCCCAGCCCAGAGATGGGAACCGTATTCCATGTGCGGCCCAACTTGCGCCTTGTAAAGTTGCAGGCGGTGTGCCGGCATGAAATACTGTCCCGCTCTGTTGAGCACCTCAAGCTTTTTAGAGGCCAATTTGGCCTTCTCTTCGACGTGACCACGAAACTGCACGTCACTCGATATGTCGACGCCGAGAATTCCGATACTGGCTGAGGCAACAAGGGGAGTGCCTTGAAACTGAGGAGATACGACAAAGGGGTTCTTTTTAGCGGTTAACGAGCAAACTTGTGTTTTCTGAGGGTTAAACTGGACTAGATTTAGTCGCCCCAATCCGATACTCTGTTCAGCAAAGACTCGACTTCAGACACAAGTTTGTCCCGGTACTCGGAGACGTTTTCCCGAGAAATATAGGCACGGCCGGTGTAAAGAGCATCACCAGTGCTGTCATCTGCATAGCAATGAATGTTACAAGTTTGCAACATATCATTGATATGCAGAAGAAACAGCGTTGGCGATAGCACGCAGCCTTGTGGAACACCAGCATTAATAAGCTTGTAATCGGAGCTTGCACCGTCTACAACGACTTTGATGCTCCGATTTGCAAGAAAGCTGGTGATCCAGTCGCACAATTTCTCGGGAAGCCCATAGGAAGGGAGCTTTGAAAGAAGCGCTTTCTGCCAAACCCGATCGAAGGCTTTCTGTCTAAACTAACGGCCAATGCCTCCCCCTTGGACTCTACTGCCTCCGCCCATCTGTGAGTTAGGTAGATCAGAAGATCACCAGCTGATCGACCACGGCGAAAACCGTATTGGCGATCACTAATCAGCTGGTGATCCTCAAGGTACCTCATGAGCTGGCAGTTTACAATGGACTCCATTGTTTTGGAGAACAAGGAGGTGATGGCGATAGACCGGTAGTTGGACGAGTCTGAGCGGTCGCCTTTTTTAGGGATCGGGTGGATGAAAGCCGTCTTCCATGATTTTGGGACTACGCCTATGGAGTATGAGTATCAGAAAAGACGCGTTAAAACCGGTGCCAACTCTGGAGCACACGTCCTCAGCACAATTGGGGGGATTCCGGATTTCCAGGGAGAGGAGTGCTTTGCGAACCGAGCGCTGTGTGAAATGCACTTCCGGCATGGAGCACTCACACCGCGGGATGGTCGGCGGCGTACTACCCCCGTCATCGAGAGTCGTGTTGGACGCAAAGAAAGAGCCTAGAAGATCGGCTTTCTCCTTTGCGGTATGGGCCAGTGAGTCGTCCTCCCTGTGCAGAAATGGAAGAGATGGCTAACAGAAATTCCCATGGACAGCCTTGGCGAGAGACCAGAATGCACGGGTTCCAGAAGGAAAGCGAACTAGTTTCTCGACAATTCTTGCTATATGCTCTGACTTTGCCTTGGCATTGACTCTTTTGAAGGACCTAGAGGCGGAATTATACTTCTTTTTTAGAGCGCTGGTGTTTACATCCCGGGACGTTGATGCGTCAGCCCAGGCTTGGTAGCACTCCTGGTTATAGCATGATGCTATTTTACAGGAGCGACCAAACCATGGCTGAGATTTGCCTCCAACGGGCACCAAAGAGGAAGGAATAAAAAGTTCCATACCCTGAAGTACCACATCAGCGACAGAATCCGCAACAACGTTGGGGTCGTCCGGCGAGAAGCAAACCCGCCCACAGGGGTAGGATGCAAAGAAAGACCGCATAACATTCCAATCGACTGACCTATAGTGTCAAACACGGCGGCAGCCTGCAGAATGCAACTGCGATTTCAGCGAGAGTTGTGAGCACCACACTCCGGACAAGACAATGGTCCGAGGAGCCTAGAGGTCAGCAGAAGGTCCAACAGGGAAGGTGAATGATCCTCCATATGTGGAATCCTCGTAGGCGAAGTAACCAGTTGTGTCAGACCATGTGCCAAGGCAAAATCATGAACTGATCTCCCCGCATGATCGGTTAAACGTGAACCAGGCCATTCGGCGTGATGGGTGTTAGTCACAGATGTACACACATGTGATGACAGTAAAACAGATGTCCTCTCTGACGTAAACGCAAACTCCAGCCCGAGGCACAAAGGAGTGTTCCAGTTTGTACCCCGGGTAGGAGAGATACGAGACATCAGCCGGAGAGGACACCTGCGTCTCGGTCAGAAGGAGCAGAGCCGGCCTCGCCGTCTCGAGATGGTAGTGGACGGCGTTTAGGTTAGAGTGAAGTCCCCTGATATTGCAGAAATTCACGGATAGCGTCGCAGGTGTCGCCTTGGTCTTGTTGCTCCGCTTGCCCCGAGCAGTTTTATTCTTGAGCGGAATTTTGCCCCCCCCCCCCCCCAGAATACGCGGGGCAGCCTGAGCACCCACGCCCAGGAGCGGAGAAACATGGTCGTGGATGCTCAGCGAGGGATTCTCCAGAGTCACCTCCTACTCATCATTATTCCCTACCAGGGAGCCCCACCGTGTGCCACCTCCACATCTCCACACCCCCCTCCCCGGGCAGAACACCTTGCCTGGAGGGATATCTCCCCTTTTCCTACTTCGGCCACAGTGGTGACTACCCGACGTGATATGAACACGCAACCAACAACCTTCGGAAACTTCAATTTTCATTATCATCATAGAATACCCCACCCATTCGCTCTCGAGCAGATATTGTCCGCAGTCTTCACATCCTGCAAGCCATCTAGCTTCACAAGATTCATCGCAGCACTGGAATAATAATGCTTCCTGTTCCTTCAAGCTACTCTCTGCGCTATACAGTGTTCGGCACGGCTCTGAGCCTCACTGCTCGCCTCTGCTTCACGGCACTCTCGCAGATTACTTGCCTTCTTCTCGACTCACCGCAGACTACAAGGCAATCTCCAGGCACTTGCACATTCATCGGCAACGAGGCTGTACTATCGACCTCCGGTCTGAGCAGGGGGGTGATGTGAAACACACCGAAGCCTAAATCACGCTATCAATATTCCGAATCATGAACAGTATATATAGAACATCTCCGAACTATCCCACGGAGTGTAGGCCGCTCCCCGGGCAGAACACCTTGCCCGGCGGGAGATCTCCCATTTTTCCTTCCACGGCCACACCTGCACTCACCAGACGAAACGCGGAAGCAGAACTTCCACTTCACGCCGGTATTCTGTGAGGTCGTGGTACCACCCCGGTTTGAGCCGGCCCATACGTGCAACAGCAAAGCTGCCGCGTGGCTCTACCACTGTTAAAAAACTATAAAACGTGCTCAAACATATAATAAAAGATATAATAGAATCCTTTAAAAAAAAAAACAAGTTAAGAAACATTATTCATTCATTTTTTCCTGTCGTTCTACGATCACAATTACGATATATTTTTATTTAATTTTTATTTCAGGTTTGATATTATGATATTATTTATAGTGCACTCTACCCGTTAATAAACTTTTCACTTCTTTTTATTTTCTTTTTGTAAGTTGTCTGGAAGGAATTGCCTTATAGCAATAAAACCGCCTTTTGTTTTTCTCTCTATGTTGGCTTCTTGTTATTTGTTTTTGTCTAAGAATTTGTCTTTGTAGGTACAATCACTGTTATTTTTAGAAAAGTTAGTAAAACCAAAATATAATCAGGGGTGACAACACTGTACTCTTTTTATAGCCTTTATTGTTTACTTTACACATTAAGTTTGTTTTTCATATCAGCTTTATGTAAAATTTCTTTCAGGCAAAAGAACTTGGGATCCATTAGCCACCGTAGAGAAGAGAAAAAAGGAAGATAGCAAATATAAAATGTGCAAGCAGGAGTTCGGGTTCTGCATCCCAGGCTACCAGGTGTACAAGTTGTCTACGGGCAAGCTGCAAAAGTACAATAAAGAGTACGGAAAAAAATTGCATGGAGAAATGGTGATAGCTGGTGAGCTGCCTCGAGATTTGTTTTTCTTTTATTATGTAAAATTGAAAAACGGACTTACCATCAGGACATTGCAGCCAACTTTAATCACTTTTTCCGTGGTGGCTCCATGCTGCGGCTATATTACAGTTGTAGCATGAATAGGTGGGCTCAATCACACTCTCCACAGAATACCAGCGTGAAATAGCAGCTTTATGCTGCTGTGTTTCGTATAGTGAATATAAAGTTTTATGAAAATCCAGTTAATTCTCATTCGTAAGATTAAATTAAAAATATTACGCCGATCTCGAAAGAGCAGTTTTGGGGTTGCGTTTGAAATTAAGTCGCCTGAATTTGAGAATTCTGTCACTGTATGGGGGATCAAGAGGATTTATCTGAAGCAACCCCATGCGATTCTTACTGCCGGAGCAGCGACGATGTATTTTTAATAATTTTTTTAAAATATTGGGATATCACTAACTAAACGTGAAATGGAACGTACATTTAACCAAATTCTAACGTTTTTGACGTTGCATCTGTCAAAGTCATCTCGAAATGCGTAACATGAATCGCTAGGCCGGCTATTTTGTTGACAGTGACAGATATACTTTACGTCATTCCGTTCTTTCCGAGTTTACGTGAATGTGCTCCCTAACGTTTTTATCTGTCTCCATTTGTTTTTCTACAACTTTGGTACCCTTCTGGATCCTTTTTTACAAAATATGTTTATAATTTAACGTAATTATAAAAGTTAATATTTTGGTGTTTTAATGAGTGTAAGAGCAAGCGAAGCGAGCTCGGGACTTAAGACACATCGACTCAGATAGGTTAGGTTAGAAGTTAGGTTTCTTTTTTTATAAACCACTCAGAAGTAAGAACCCGCTAAGCGGGGCTCCGTAGACCGGACTTTACTCGACTGCGCTACGTTGAGTGGCGTGAGGCTTCGCTCCCCCAAGTCTCTCCCCCCATAAATCAGGTTTATAGTCAAAAACATTACAAAAACATAACCTCAAAATGAGATTTTTAGAAAATTATAAAAACAAATAAGCACGTCTGGCAGTGGGGGGGCATCTCTACAACTCTCTAGCCTATTTCCCTCCCACCGCCCCCGACCCCCTGATTCAGACGACTTAATTCAACCTTACCCTTTACGTGTTTAAAATTCGAGAAATCAAAAAAGAAAAAAGTTAACTCAAACTAGGAGCTGGTTATGAAACTGTTCCGGCACTGCCGAACGACTCTTAAATGTCGTTGCTTATAACTCTTTCTTTCTTTCACACTTTCTTTTTTAATATTACTAATTTTTTTCGTAGATAAAAAATAAAAGTTTCAAAAGATTTTTTCTAAAGATGGTTTTAGCAGCTAAACAGCTTGTTCATGGAGTATAGAGGTAAGGAAGCCAATCTCTAATAGGAGAATAGTTGAAAATGTCTCCTTCTGTAAGCAATAAATAACAGTTCAAAAACTCTCCACAAATTGCGCTCGAGTAGCTACGGGATATGATAAATCACCGTAAAATACATTGAGAGTGATTTTGAAAATAAAAATTTTGGAAGCAATAAAATAATTATTGTACTTATAAAGAATTATGATGAAAGTCTATTATGCAATAAAAAAATTATAAAAAGTACTTTAAAATTTAGACTGTAGCTACAGAGGCGCCACCTATTTAGCGCTTTCCTACGGACACTTTTTTATACAGAGTCTGTACTCCTTACCTCTACACTCCATAAGGTTGTTGTTGCTATTCGCTATTTCAGGCAGGCAAAGGTCTTAAACCATACAGTCTCATCTGATTTGAATTTTCTCCACAAAACTCATTACAGTTTGCTGATGTGTCCGTCACATTGCGAAGTTTTTGAGAGATTATGATGACAGCTTAACTCACCGGATGATTAATATGGATAATATCTTAAGGTTCCTAAGCGGAATAAAATAAACCTGCGATTTATATCAATATCGAAGCACTTTGTTACATTTTTCCACTTATAGTTCATAAGAGCAGTTATTTTATACACAAAAACAAACCAGTTTTATGTATAAAAATCCACTTTTAACTATTATTTATATGATAATACAGGAACGACAATCCGCCGGCAGTCGAGTGCCGACAAAACATCTTGACCTTTTCATATTGACATAGATATTTTTCTTATGTGGTACATTACAAATTCGTTCTGTTTCACTACTTTGATAATTTATTATTTAATGATTTCTTATATTTACGCGAACATTGCACATGATTAAAACTACTTTTACGGATTTTATCGCGTTTATTTTTACTTTTTATTTTTAATTCCCGACGTTTCGGGCGCTTTCCAGCACCCATGGTCACGGGGGACTGAGATGACTGACGTCCCGATGTCATTGTTAAACCCGGAGTACCTTCAGCTTTTTTTAATTATTGTTTATGGTCCGATCTATGCAAAATGAACTGACTATGGCCTGAGGTCTTGCAGTGGTATGCTTGGGTTTAGTTTTAATTTTATTGATTATAGGATCCCAAGCAGGTGGTAGTACCCAGCCTCCTTCTCTATTGAAATTAGGATGTTTTTTAATTTCAATAGCCTCACGTATCATCCTTGGTAGGAATCGGTGTTCTTTCGCGAGGATTTGTGGTCTATCAAATCTGATGTAATGGTTGGGGCCGTCTAGGATATGATCACAAACTGCAGACTTCCCGGAACGTTGATGCTTCACATCAGCTATATGTTCTTTTACGCGGGTCCTAATTGATCTTTTGGTTTGTCCTATATAAGAGAGACCACATTCACAATCAAGCTTGTACACTCCTGCATCTTGTAGAGGAATATGACACTTGACGGATGGTAGGAACTGACTAATCTTCTTCGGCGGCTTGTAGAATGTTCTAATAGAAGCTCGCTTCAAGATAAAGCCAATCTTGTCTGTGACACCTCTGACATATGGTAGTACAGCAGGCACACGCTCGACTGTGGCCGGCTTCACTCGGTCACTGTGACGTAGGCGCGGGACCCGAAGCTTGTTGTCGTGCAGAACTTGCTTGACGTGCTGAAGCTCGGCGGCCAGGTGTTTGCTGTCACAGATCCCTCGTGCTCTCTGTAACAAAGATTTGCCCACGGTAGCTAACTGTGAAGGATGGTGGTGAGATTCACCGTTTAAATATCGGTTTGTATGGGTCTTTTTCCTATACACAGTGTGACCAATGGTGTTATTAGGATTTCGGATGACTAACACATCTAGGAAAGGTAAGGAATTATTTGCCTCTAACTCCATAGTAAATTGAATTTTAGCGTTTATGGAATTAAGATGTTCTAAAAATGCAGTTACTTTGTCTGATGGTAAAATTGTGAAAGTATCGTCTACGTACCGCTTGTAGATCCTTGGTGTAACAGGTGCAGTAAGGAGGGCTTTCTCCTCAAAGTCTTCCATGAATATATCGGCGACAATGGGAGATACAGGTGAGCCCATCGCCACACCATCTACTTGCTTGTAAAACTCTTCCTTCCACAATAGATAGCCAGATGTAAGGCAATGTCTTAGTAATACTGCATATTCTGCTGGCATGTTATTTTCCTCTAGTTTCCTAGTTATAATTGAGATGCAGTCTTCAACAGGTAGGCATGTAAATAGAGACTGAACATCAAAACTGACCATGGTTTCATTGTCAGTAAGATGTAGGTCTTTTATCTCACTGACAAAATGGTATGAATCCTTAGTGTGTGCTCTTGTGTGTCCTCTGAGTGGTGATAATATTTTAGCTAAGTATTGAGCCAATCTGTAAGTTGGCGAATCAATCTGACTCACTATTGGACGTAATGGAGCATTCGGTTTGTGTATCTTTGGTAACCCATACAACTTCGGTGGTTTGGCACAGGAAGGTATTATCGAATTAACGTCCAGATTCAATTTTTCGGAGTATTTCTTAATTAGATCGCTAGTTGTTTTAAGCGTATTAGTTGTAGGGTCTGTTTTGACCTTTCGATAAGTAGTTTCATCCGACAAAAGTTGTTGTATTTTAAAATTGTAATCTGACGTATCCATTATAACCGTAGAATTACCTTTATCTGCGCGGAGAATCGTAAGCTCTGGTCTGTTGCGTAAGTTTTTCAACGCGTTAAATTCATTTTTGGGGAGATTTAATTTCGGCGCTGAACTTCGACGTAACATAGACGAGATGTCTTGACGTATGGCCTCTAAATCTTCATTACCAATATTATTTTTATACAGACAGTCCTCAACACTACAGATAATGTCCTCATACGGTATTTTTCGCGGTGCTATTGCGAAATTAATACCTTTTTCTAAAACTTTTATTGTGGCGTCGTCCAGTGTTTGTTTTGATAAGTTGTAGACAGCGCGTTGTTTATGATTCGTGTCTGTGGTCCACGATTTCGTATGTTGGACATTTGATTTAGTTGTTAATTTATGGTATTTATCAATGTGTTTATTTTTGCATTCATTGTATTTAGTTGTTTCGCGTTTATCTAAAGTTTCCATGCAATTTTTATAATCAAATGTCGATAAAACTGTCTTTAATTCACTGGACGAATTGTCTATGGTTTTGTTTATGAAATATAGATCGGTACGTTTTTGCTGAATCACCGTTATTAACAACTTTTTACTAGCCTGATTTAAGATCTTGGCGCTTCCTCGAATGTCTTTTTTAGTGGATATCTTGACACACGTAGGAATGAGATTATGATCTCTGCATCTCTTCAAGAAATTTAAAGCTGTTATGTATCTTGCGCGCTTGGTCTTTAGATCTTCTAATCGGCGTATTTTATTTGCTATTTCCAGTCCGTACTGGTTAACATAATGATTTCTTATATTTACGCGAACATTGCACATGATTAAAACTACTTTTACGGATTTTATCGCGTTTATTTTTACTTTTTATTTTTAATTCCCGACGTTTCGGGCGCTTTCCAGCACCCATGGTCACGGGGGACTGAGATGACTGACGTCCCGATGTCATTGTTAAACCCGGAGTACCTTCAGCTTTTTTAATTATTGTTTATGGTCCGATCTATGCAAAATGAACT